ACACACACACACACACACACACACACACACACACACACACACACACAAACACACACACACACAATCTTTTTTTAAAGAAGAAAGCTGGCTAAAATATAATGCAGAGCTTCAAAGACTCACACCTACAACTGCTATGAGATTTCTGCCTCCTTGCAGAAGGGACTGCTCACCTGTCATCAGTGGGGTCAGAATCAGAATCATGCTCCGGTGGTACACTCAGGGCTGTGGCCAGCTGAGAATTGCTGTCATAGACTCGATAATGGATGGGCTGCAGCTGGTGAGCGTACCACTTTGGCTTGTCACCAATCAGGGCTGGATCGAACGTATCTACCCAAAGAGGAAAAACAGTGAGCAGTAGGGAAAAGAAGGTAGGGGAAGTCTAACACAATAAAGAGGGAGGGAAGGAGCAAGGGCAGGGCCGTCAAGGGGCAAATGCAATGTGGGGCAAGCAGAGAGCAGGACTCACTGTTGTGAATCCGCTGGAAGGCATAGTTAGAAGGGTTCAGGATCCATTCTCCAAAATACTCCACAGCTTGAGTCCTGGCGAGTTTCTCAGCAAAGGGAGTTTGCCGGGGACGTGAGGCCAGAAACGAGCCAGCCTGGAAAGCTACCACAGGCCGAGGGAAGAGTCGCAAGGTACGTGTGTGCATCTGAAAGCCCTGCAGCACGTTAGCAGAGTTGAAGAAACGCACCATGGCCACTCTGGGAAAGAAGCGGGTGGTGAGATAATCCAAGACCCATATCCTGTATCATTAGGATAGCCATGATCCTAGGTCTTAGGCCACTTCTCAACACCATCACTTAACAGGTTCCAACCACCATCATGGAAAGATCTTAAAGAACCATCAGCCTTTCTCTTCATGCTAAGACTATGAGCTATTTCTTCTCCTTGCTTTTGCTAAGGTAGGAAGTATAACCAAATATCATACACATTTTGTATATAAGGTAAGTCTGGCTCTCCCCCCAAAACCAAGAGATCAGAGAAACAAACTTAAGAACTCGTGGTCTTACCTTGTTGCAACATCGACTGAATCCACGTCATTGCCATAAATGAGCGGGTTGAATTCAGTGGAAGGAGTGGACTGAAGGTCATTAGAAGGTCTTCCCAGGAGAAGCGGGATCTCCTGGCCCTCGTGGAACTTCTCCAGGTTAAGAATGGGCTGGGTGTTGAGACTCATGCTGGCTAGGGCCTGTGGAACAACAAACAGTCCTCATATAAGACAGAGTCTCAGCCAGCCCATCTCGGCTCCAAGGAAAGAGCTGTTTAAGGCCTTCACCTGTCACTCTGATCAAAAGTTCTCTACAAAGAACTATGCTCATTTGAAAATCACTACCAATTCATTTTAGAGTCTGTATATTTGAAAAAAAAAAAGAGAATCCAAATAATAGGCAGCATTATATAGCTGTCCATCTTAAGTCAACCAAGCTCAAGGCATTTTTAAATAAAACTGAAGTTCAAGACAATAGTTTCCATTTATTTTAGCCAAGAAGTGATTTTCAAATTGAAGAATATATAGAAATATAAACAGGTGAACTATAAAAACAGAGCTACTTAGAAGGACATCAAACCCCCCAACCAAAAAAAAAAAAAAACAAAAAGCCAGAGTATTGCTGGACAGTGGTGACACACACCATTAATCAAAGCACAGAAGAGTCAGAGGCAGGGAAATCTGAGTTCAAGGCCAGCCTGGTCTACAGAGCACGTTACCAGACAGCCCGGACTACACAGAGAAACTCTGCCTTAAAAACAAACAAAACAACCAACAACCACTACCATCAACAACAAACAAACACAACAACCAACAACCACCACAATCAACAACAAACCCAGAGCCTCTCCAAGGCAGCCAGAACGACATAGTGAGACCCTGTCTCAAAACAACAAAAAACCCCAAAAACAAAACATCAAAACAAAACCAAAAAACCAGAAAAACCAGAATCTCAAGTTCCCAATTTAAATTAACCTATAAGAGACTCCATGGTGCACTTTGAAAACTACTGATCTAAAACAGCAGCATTTTTTAAACGTGGGTGAGCTCAGGAATCACCTGGGCTGGTGTCACAGTATACATCTGTGTGATTCTGTGGTTTCAGTAAGGCCGAGTGTTAATGCTGCTGGTTCATGGACTGCACAGTAGTAAACTGGCACAAATTCACACAGCACTCTCTCTTCATATTAGTCAATTCTCTCTCTCTTCCACTCACACCCTCACACCCTCTTTCTCCAAAACAAGGTTTCATTATACAACACTGGATGACCTGGAATTCCCTATGTAGACCAGGCTGGCCTCAAACTCACAGAGATCTGCTTGCCTCTGCCCCATTAACTGTTGGGATTAAAGGTGTGCACCACCAAGGCCAGCTCCACATTAGTCATTCTTCTGTGTGTGTGTGTGTGTGTGTGTGTGTGTGTGTGTGTGTGTGTGTGTGATTTATTTTTATTTCACGTGCATTGATGTTTTGCCTGCATGTATGTTTATGTGAAGGTGTCAGATCCTTTGAAACTAGAGTTACAGGCAGTTATGAGCTGCCGTATGAGTACTGGGAGTTGAACCTGGGTTCTCTGAGAGAACAGCCAGTGCTCTTGGCTGCTGAGTTATCTCTCCAGCCCCTACTTTAGTGATTCTTAAGCAGCCATCAAGAACAAAAACACAGCAAAAGAAGACGCTAGAGAACTTTCTGAACCTGCGACCCTCACCAGACTCTGCTGCAACAAGGTATCATATTACATCAGCAAGGATGGAGCAAGTGAGCTGAGAACCAAGGCAGAGCATCCTAGTTCAGCCCAATACCATCTAGACTCTAGATTCTAGAGGAGCTTCTAGGCACTTCAGACAACACAGAAAGAAGACTCCTAAAGAGCTTTCAAATGGGACTCCTTGGAAGCACAGCTGGTGATCCTACACAATATATACAAGAGGGAAGGGAAAAGAGCCTTGTCGTGTTTTACCTTCAGGAACTGTTAAGCATGCAGAAGAAAAAAAATCAATCAATAAAAACATGGGTGGAAGGGCTTACTCAAAGAAAGGGATTTTTAGAAAGGGTTTCTATAGGGACTTTGGAATTGATTTAAGAAGCAAATTTGTCCAAACTTGTAATTTCTACTTTATAAGACTAAGGGAATGCTATAAAGACAGATAATGGCAGATATGACAAGAAACAGAAAGTGAAGGGTGTTTTTAGTTTTGTATGTTTGAGTCGAGATGATATCAACCAGGCTGGTCTCAAACTCACAACCCACCCCCACGCCTACCTCACCAGCTTGAGTTGAGTGCAGGAATTTCTGGTGACCTGAAGTATACATACACATAGCTTCATGTACATTACAGGGTAATAGAGCAGACAATGAGTTAAAAAGAACCTTTTTAAGATTTAGCCTGTTACACAAAACTTAGATATACCTCTTCTTAAGGCCATTCAAGGCAAAGAAAGCCTATTCCACGTGAGGGTTCTTAGACCAGCTACCTTCCTGCAGCAACCTTAAGTTATCTGTTACTTCCTTTATTTAAAAAAATGCTGTGACGTTTTAGCTTATTCTGTGTTGAGTATGTCTACCTGTGTGCCACGGCACACGTGTGTCGACTTGTGGAAGGGTCTCTTCTGCCTATGGGGCCCAGCTGTCAGAGCTGATGGCAGGCACCGTTACCGGCTGAGCCATCTTGCAGACTCTTCCCCTTCTTTTCTTTCATTCCTTGCTTACCTGCTTTAGGTGTTTTTTCAGCTCTAATGATTCTGGTTCCGGCAGGATGGGGAGCACTTCTGCATTGGTGGGGGCAATCACCTGCAGCAGAGAAAAGAAAAAAAGACATGAGCTTAGAGTGGACTGTCAAGGAGCTCTGGTTACACAGAGCAAACACTATGCATAGGGAGATTTGATAGACACAACAGTATCATATGTTACACTATGAATACGAGAGATATCTATACAGACATAAGCTATACCTGCATGTCTAAAGAAATGTCTAAACAACACTGGCAACTATCTCTAAATAATAGGATTGTGGATCATATTTTCTTTCTTTATTTTCAAGACTTACACTTTATTTTTAATTATGTGTAGGTATGTACCTGCATGTGAGTGTGCACGTGAGTGCCGATACTAGAAGCTGGAGGCATCAGATCCCCTGAGCTGGAGATACAGAGGGCTGTGAGCCACCTGATGGGAGTGCTGGGATGTGAACCCAGGCCCCTGCGAGAGCAGCAAGTGTGCTTAACTGATGAGCCATTTTCTAGCCCCTACACTGACTTTCACATGTGTGGAGGACAGAGGACAGCTTCCCACCATGTGGGTCCTGCGGGTTGAACTCAGCTTGTCAGAGTTGGAGGCAAGTACCGTTCCCTGTTAAGTCATGTATCTTCTTGAAATTTAATAATGAACACATAGTGGGCTTTCTACAAAAGGTTTAATAAACTCACATCTCAGATTATGTTAATATAATTTTAAATGTGTGCTAGAAAACAGCTTCCGACCTGAAACTTACAGGAAAACTAGAACCTGATTATCTACACTTTATATAATGACATATACAAACGTAACAGTCTTATGGCTTGGAACATGTAGGAGGAGCTCTTAACTCTGGCACGACTAAACTCTATAACCTGTCTGCCCAACAAAGTCAAAGCAGCATTAGAAAACTTTGTTTTAATGAGTGTTACAAGAGAAGTAATCCAGAAGAGTGGTTATGACAGACTGGGTTTAGAACACGAGCCCGCTGGATGTCTCACTCTATTGCTGTCCAGATCCACTAGCCACACGTCATCAGGCATTTTGAAATCTAGCTTGTAGAGGAAGAAGCTGGCAGGAACTCCAATGATGTATGGGGTTGGAGCCAAGAGCAGCTATGGAAGAGATAAGATAGGATAAGAAACAAAGACAAGACCTACTGTGCGCACTTAATCACGGCAGAATTTTTCTAGATAAGGAAATTCAGACAATTCCTTTCTCCAAATATCAGATAGATGTATTGCGAAATTTAGAACTTTTCAGATTTTAGAAAGGAAACAATACATTTCGGTATATTAATGCCTACTGTACCATAGCAAGGAGTCCACAAACACTAACTGTAACAAACAGAAACTACAAATACCACAGTTTCACTAGAGAATCAGTGCAAATCCATCCAACATTTCAAACTAGTGAGTTCTGAGGGACATAGGAGCCGCACTGATGAATAGCCTCCCTCAAAAGCCAGGGAGACACTGTGAGTGAGACTCACCTGCTCGGCCGACGCCATGCAGGTCGGAAGTAGCGGGATGACAGGGAACATGTACTCCAGGGGGTAGATCATTGCCACAAACGCCATCACAGACATGGAGAGTGCATTGTAGTCTCGAGACTGTAGCACCACCTGCCACGGGCACACCACAAATCACTAGGCAACATGAAACAAGGTTTACTGGGAAAGATCTCCCAGTGCTCCAGTTTAATTTCAGGCTCACCAAGCCTACAACTGTAGCTTATCTCAGCAATCACCACCGCTCCAGTCCCCGCCCCGTCAGCCACCTTCCAACTCAAACACTGTAGTAATCCTCTCTTAAACCACTACCTTTTTAGTTCTGCCACTCCCTGTCCTAGGACTACACACTGAAAGAGAACTGATATCCCCAGAGAATTAACTCAGTCTAACAAAGAACTCAACTAAGCATTCCACATGACATCAATATCGTAATTCAACTCACATACCAAATACTTACTGTCTACCTGCCATCACATTACCTCCTGGAAATAAAAAGACAAAAAGGACACACTTCCTGGTTCTCAACGGACTCATGACCTAGCTCCCAACAGGGTATGCAGCTCTCTCTAGAAAGGTCTTCAGAGCTGGCCCTCTCACCTTGTGCTCTAACAGGATGCAGGTTAGCACCTGAAGACAAGCATCTACACCCAGAAGTTCCAAGGGAAGGTGAAGAGGGAAGTCTACTAGGGTGAACCGAGATGGATCTGGAAGAGCAAATGTCAGGGCCTGCTGGAGTTCCTGGGGTAGGACCTCAATGTCCACTCGCTTCTGCCCAGAGACAGGCACCGGGGAGCGTAGCAACCGATAGATCCAGGCCTCAATCTCTCGAAGGTCATGCAGAAGGGCACTGGACTTCTCCTCCACTAGCAGGGATCCAGTAAAGATTCGCCACATGGTGTCCCTAAGGAACACATAACAAGACTCAGACACAGAAGCTTCGTCGGCTGGTACCACTGCAGCCCAATAAAACCTCGATAATAACGGGGAGAGAACTACTGCAGGGAAGCCCGCTCTCTAAGCTCAGATGGGACCAGAGGGATGCACGAGGGGATATATGATGACAAAAACGGTGTAGAAGGCATACGTGATGGAATCCAACACCACGTCCATATTGAGCTCCTCGGTATTTCTCAAAACACAGCTACAGTACGAAGTCCAACGCCCAGCAAGTTTACACTGGTACTGGATTGTTTAAACTGTCCTAAAGGAGCTGAAGAGGAAATTTCTTTTCTTTTCTTTCTTTCTAAGATTTACTTTAGGTATGTGAGTATACTGTAGCTGTCTTCAGACACACTAGAAGAGGGCACCAGATCCCATTACAGATGGTTGTGAGCCACCTGCTGGGAATTGAACTCAGGACCTCTGGAAGAGTAGTCAGTACTCTTACCTGCTGAGCCATCTTTCCAGCCCTAGAGGAAATTTATTTTTCTCTCACAAGCTAATTATATCAATCTTATAATGTTTTCCCTTTCTTCCGAGCATAAGCAGCAAACCGTACCTTTGTACGCCTCGAGGGATGCCCAGTTTCTTGCCTAGCAGCCGTTCACTACAGCAGTCTACCAGACGTTTGAGAGTATACAGACACTCTCTGAAGGTAGAGAAGAAAGGGTAGTGGCTAAGCACACACAGGGATGTCAGGGTGCTGTTGCGGGAGCGGCTGCCCGCTTTTGCCCTACGTTTGCCCCGAGGAGACTGGTTTACGTCAGGAGTGGAGTCGGCACTAGGAGGCTGCAAGGTTGAGCCACTCTCAGCAGCAGCCTCTTCTGAGGCGCAGGGGGCAGGAGCTCCTTCCTTTGCACGAGGTCCTGCTCCGCCTTCCACCTTTTCCTTTGGCATTCGCTTTTGGAAGGAACGATAGAAGTTGACACAGATGCCATAGCGGGTGACTCCAGTGTCCTTATCGGTTAGGGTGAAGACAAAAGAGGTATCGTCTCGAAGGCTCATGCGCCTCTGCCGCACACTCAGACATCCCTCTGGCTGGCAGAAGAACACCACATCTGGGGGCAGGGGAAACTCCGGGTGATCCTCTAGTGGGTACCTCCGCAGCAGTTCGGGAGTCTGGGCCACACTATCACTGCTTGGGTGCCTGGAGGATAGAAAGAAAGACACACTCAGCAGCCCAACAGCAGGTAACACACTATCACACTTGAACCACAATCAACAAATGAAGCTCAAGGGAACTTTAGGATAGAGTTTTAACAGGCAGACTAAACAAAGTCCACACTGTCACAAAGACATTATCCTGAAGGTTTCAGCAAGAAAATCATTACTAACACCTAGAGAAGATCAGTACCTTAGCTACAAAATTACCATAAGAATATAGGTAGACAGAGAAGTGCAGTGTGCTTTCCCCTTTTTACAAACTGTGAAAACTTGGCTCTAAAGAATATATTTGCTCAAAACCCATAAAGTATGAGTTAAAATAATTTATTGTGTATTAATTTATGAGAGGCAGCATGCATAAAGTAGAGAATAAAACATACAACAAGAACATAAATCAATAGGAAAAATAAGATATTCAAAGCAACATGAAAATAAGGTCTGGGAATAACAAAACATTGTGGCTGCCACAGAGAACAAAACAGTTATCAGTCTTCTTGGTTACCTTGCCCCTACGATCACTAAATAGTCAAGTAACCGAGGGCAGGACTTCTTTTGCACCATGGTTCCAATTTGTCAGTTCATCGCAGAAAAACTTCAGGGCACTGAGCAAGGAGCCAGCATTCCAATGAGGAATTTTGATATAATCTGAAAATCCAAGAAGGGAAAAGTACTGAAATATCCAGTGCTATGCCTAAGGGAATCATCCTTCTCAGGTTCATCTCAGCAAGGGACAGAGGTCAGGAGCCTTCCACTTTGGTACTCATGATAGAATCTGACACTTGCTTTACCTGGTGGTTGTCTAGGTTTATGTGCTTCCAGAGTCAAATTTCAAACAGAATAGGGTTGAGGGTGTAGCTTAGTGATCAAGGACTTCTCTAGTATGGATGGGGCCCTGGTTTCAATCCTTTGCACCACAAAAAGGAGAAGAGGAGTTTTAGAAATAATGGCTCAGACTACTAACTAGCTCATCTTCAGTCTAGTTTCTCAGATTCTGTTTCTGAAAAACAGACCTAGACAGTCTAATCTAGGTTGAACAATTATAACAAAAAAAAAAAGCCACTTTCAGAACTACTCCAGGGATGATCAAGATAAAAGCAGATTCTTTGTACAGCACTAATCTGTGCTTTTCCGTCTGCATGGAAACCTAATTATTCTGTCTCGGTGAGCAGCATTCAGCCTGATGTGTAACTATCATATAGACTTTCCAGCTAATTTCACTCAGACAGTAACAACGGCTGCTGGATACTGTAGTTCATGTGATCACGCATGAAGAACGTCCATGTCTCAACTGTCTCATCTCTAACCAGTTCTCCCACTAGATAGAGAGGGGGCCAGCAGCTAGTGCTACTTTCTCTGCCCTTGGTGCTGAACCATAGCTCTTGTCTATTCTGGTCTCGGGATCAGGGTCAGTAATACAATACGTTCCCAGGAGGCTTGGTCTTTCTCTATGTTGCAGGGATTATGAATTAGGGACTGAAAATACCAGAGTTTCTACAAATATAGGGGAAGTGTCTAAAGGAATTTCTAAACATATTAGAAATCAATTCTTTCCTGGGGGCCAGAGAAATGGCTCAGCAGTTACAAGCATTCATGGCTCTTCCAGAAGACCTAGGTTCAGCTCTAAGTACTAGCACTGGGTGGCTCACTGCTGCCTGTAATGCTAGTTCCAGGTAAACTGTGGCTCTTCTCAGTGCTAAACTGACGGAGTGCACATACACATGCTCAGGCACACACGTGTGTAAAAGAAACAACTAAAAAAAAAAAGAAACAACTATATTTTTAAAAGAGTCTATATTTCATATTATATTATATTATATTATATTATATTATATTATATTATTATGTTTCACTCCTGTATAGGGCATTTTCAGTGTTCCAAGATTTTGCTTCTATGGCCTCACTGAGACTTTGTCCACTGTACACACACACACGCATGCACACACGCACGCACTTCATTTGCCTTGCACGCTCCCATTCTACAGACATAGATATTGCCTGTGTTGAGGGCACAACTTGATCTAGATAGTTAGTTCTTTTTTTTTCCCTCTTCAACCCACAAACAAGACCTATTTACAATACCTCTGGTATCCTCAAAACACTGTTCCCTCTTTCCCCTTGCTCCCAATAGAGGACCCATAGGTAATAGGATTCAGTTTTGTCTCCATAGCGACTCTGGCTCCCAGAACTATTAATAGCAGAGCCATAGCCCCTCCCCTGCTTGGTGACCGAACAGTGCTAGCAGCTGCTACTCCAAGCTCAGCCATGGCCCACAGCATCTCATTCTCCCTACTCTGGAGACACCAAGTCCATTGACAGCACCTACTGAGACTCAGGTTATCTTCACTTCTGTCTGTGTTTAATTTTTATTGTAAATCTCACATTCAGCTTTTAATAGAAATAGCTCTTCACCACCAAGTTCCTGAACATGCCACACATTCAGTCATTTCTGGGGTTCACCACTCTTAATAAACCTCAACAATCCTCTGGTTCTCCCAACTACATGAACATATTGCGTGAACATATTGCAAAAGTGGAACACCCTTAGAGAGCTGAGCTCCCTTCCTCCTAAGAGAAATGAAGCTATGAAATGGGACATAGGCAAAAGCCATACTGTGTTCTATACAGACATATCTACCTATAAGCAAGCTAGATTCAGCTCTGTGTTACAGCACCTAACCATAAAACAGAATTTGTAGAACCAGAGGCTGGGTCTTTAAATGCAGGTTTACACTGAAAACCAGAAGCATCTTCTGGCTAAAATCTCAACAACAACAAAAAAGGGGGGAGGGTGCTGAAGCTTTCTCTTACTAGTAAATTAGTTATGGGGGCCTCTCTGGTGTTGGTGAGATGAAAGCCCTCTCCAAATTCAAGTCAATTGCCATACTCTACAGTTCTCCTTTCAGAGCTGCAAGAACCCAAGACCTTGGGACTATCCTAGCTAGCAGTGGTAGGATTATTTTTGGCCTCAATTCTTATCCCATCAATAGCCACTGACTTTAGACACTCAGGCGACAAAGATAAGCCACACTGCCTTTCTCTGCTTCCCTAGACTCTAAATCCTTTTATACCACCTATAACTCACTCAGTCTTCATAACCAACCAGCCCAGACTCTGCCTCTTGCTTGCCTCAATCTTATTTACTAATGTAAAGCCCCTAGCTCTTGTCTTGCTGTAGTCCAAATCTCTAAACGCACACCTTTCTGCTATAGTCCTACACCATCACTCACCACAGACTTTTAGGTAATCTCTGCCTTTTCAGCCTACAATGGCCATGCTACCAACCCTGTGGATTCGTCCCTCATTTGGGGCAGGATCTCATAGTAAAAACCACAAGAACTTAACCCAAGGACGGTATGACATCTTTGCTGACGTGAGCACAACGGGAGGCTTCCTCTCCTTCCTCCTCCTCCCCAGGCAGTGACCTTGCAAGCTCATCAGCAGACTGGTCCAGCATGGGGGGCGGGGGGAACTGGGGCAACGAAGCCAGCTATGGTTAGGACTGAGAAAAGAGGAGCAAGCACGAGGAAGAATTGAGCTGCGGGAGGATGGAAAGGGGAGTAGTTGCAGCAAATAATTAAATGGTGTGCCTAGTCTTCAGCAAGCCAATACTGAGGAATGAAATGTAAATATATATGTATATTTTAGAGAACCAAACGTGGTTCTCCAAACCCTAATCAAAAATAAGGCGTGCGCACGCACGCGCACACGCGCCAGGCGCTGGTGCCTTCCTCGGGCCCGGGGCTGGACAGCTCTGGCCGCCCCCTCACCTGCTGGACAGCTCCTCGCCCCCACCCGGGAACCCGCACCGCGGGCCCGCAGCCCTTCCCCGGAGCGGGTGCCCCGCCTCGACCCCCGCCTCACTTTCTCAGCAGGCTCCACGCCCCCTCGCGCTCGCTCCTTCAGGGCCGCCTCAGAGACCCTTTCTTCCTGGAGCCGCTTTTCCTCTCAGGCGCCACTTTGCCCTCAAAGATCCACACAGGGCGCCCCGGGCCGCGCGCGCTCCCCTACCTACTCTCGGAGGAACCTGCCAGGCCCGCCCGACGTCTCCCGACCGCGGAGCGCTCGTCGCTTCCTAGCCGGGCGCCGCTGCGAGCGGGCGCCAGTTCCGCGTCTGCACCGGGGGGCGCGTACCACTCAGACCTGATGCGGGAGGGGGAGGCTGAGGGGGCTGGGGCCGTACCATTCGCCGCCTGGGGGCCGCGGCTGCACCAAGCAGAGCCCAGAGAGGAAGGCGGCTACGCACACACCTATCGTTGTGGGAGTGGGAACGCGATGGGAAAGCACTGGGCCAGCCCAGTGCAGGTAGGTGTCAAGGGGAGGACCCAAAGGAATACATTTTGTTTTGGTTGCTCAAACAGCTTTTAATTCGACTTGGTTATAGAGTCCTTCTTGAGGAAATAATGATCAATTTGAAAGTACTTCGCAAGATAAACTGCCCCTAAGACTTTCTGACAGTTTAGCCAAACCTCATCTGGCTCCCCCTGCACGCTGTTTGGATGTGCCCAGCTGCCCGGGCTGGAAGGCTTGCAAGCCTGTCGGTGGAACCTACCAATCGGGATGGCGGGGGGCACTTCAGGCCGGCGCTGCCAGGGTGTTACCTACACCAAGGTAGGGGAAACGAGAACGGTGCCGCGATGCCCTCTGGGAAATGGAGTCCAGTCCTTTTGACAACTCAAACATTTGTCATCCTTCACTGGCCTACGGGGACTTTTCTTCAAGTCCCACAGGGCCCAGAGCCCAAAGGGAAGTACCGGGCCCTGGGTCTTTAAATCTGTACTCTTTTTCAGATGCCAATGGAAAAAGTAAGACACTTTATACACACGCGCGAAGTGTACTGCTGAGTTATTGCTGAAGATCCAACTCCTCCCCCCACAGAAAGAGCACCTGCTCCTACCTGGATCATTAAAGGGGAAGGAGCACCTAAGCCGCAGGCCTAGTGAACAAAAGCTGTCGCTTGTGATTTGCCCTTCTCCTCTGGGTCTGGAGGCAGATCTAACAGACGCACGCTTCCTCTGACATGGCAGCACCCCCACTCTCGATCCAGAAATTTGCTTCCCTAGTTCTATATTCCTCTTGGCCTTCCTGTTTCAAGTGTCAGATCTATTGGTGAAGCTGCCCAGAGGCACTTACAGCCAAACCACAGAGTGATAGTGGAGAATTTCTTTGGGGCACCATGAGGAAAAACAGGAAGTGGTAGAGGCAGGATGGGCAGGGCCCTGAAGAACCCTGCACAAAGTGGCCCTCCTGGCTAGTTTATTGGGTTGGGTCGACAAGGTCTTCAGATGGCATACAACATTAGTAGGTCCCCAACTGCCCAGCAGCCACAAAACACCCAACCCTTTGACTTTCCCTTAATGCCATGCAAGGATCTCTTTCACCCAGCTCCCAGGAATGTTTGCCCTTCTCAGTCTGCTCCACCTCTAGGAAGCAGTCAGTACGCCTCAGCCGTGCGGCCAACACAAAGGACATGGAGAAACAGTCACTCGTGGACATCCCAGATCTCAGACAGCAGAGGGGGAAGCTTTTTGTCCTGCAGGCGAAGTGCAAACACTTGCTCTGAGTGGACGCTGCTCAAAGTCCGGAGGCTCACCAACTTCATTAGCATCCGTGGGAACATCAGTCGGTCCTGGTGGTGTGGGGGAAGTCTAGTTGTTGCTCTTCCCCAGAAAAGGTGAGACAGGGCAGGGAGATTGTTAGAGGTGCAGGAATTATCATGCTAGGATGAAGCAGAATTCTTGAAAGAAAGTGAGTATCAGAAAATGGGTCTTGAAGAGCAGAAGAAAAAGACACCGAGGGAGACTCACGTGGGGGTGGTTGATGGAGACATAGGCATGCAGGGCCTCCACATATGTGTGTTGCAGCCTCTCTACTTGGAGCTGGTCCTGCACGTTGGGCCGGTCTATAGGTCACCAACAGAATTGAGGAGCAGGTCTGGCCAAAGTCTTGGTTCCAAAACCCAAATCACAACTCCCAAATAGGGACATGTGCCACCCAACCTCTCTCATCCACTGTAGGGACTATATTCCTCCTGGGTGAAAGTCTCTTACTCAGTTTCCCTCTTGCCCTTCCTCCATACCTGCAGAGAAGATGCTGATGGCAATGAGCAAAGCAAATTCAGCATCATTGAGTTGCAGTTCATTCATGGCTCTAGAGAACTCAAAGATGGGGTTGATGAATTCCACCTGCAGCCCTGGGGAAGAAGAAAGAAGGCTGAGGTTGTGGCAGGAGTAGGAAGAACACCCTCTAACTCAACTCGGGAAACTGCTAGGAAGTCTCTAACAGATCTCCTGGTTTCTGCCATGTCAGAACAAGCTCTAGGACTGGAGAGATGGCTCAGAGGTTAAGAGCACTGCCTGCTCTTCCAGAGGTCCTGAGTTCATTTCCCAGCAACTACATGGTGGCTCACAACTTTTATCTGTACTGGGGTCTGATGCCCTCTTCTGGCATGCAGGCATACATGCAGATAGAGCACTCATATACATTAAATAAATAAATAAATAAATAAATAAATCTTGAGAGAGAGAGAGAGAACAAAGTTTTAAACTTCTCTACACCTCCTCTGTGAAATTTGAATCATGGTTGAATTTATCTAACTAAACAACCTCTAAGGGCATGGTGGCACATGAATGTAATTGAAAGGCTGAGGCAGAAGGATTCCAAGTTTCAAGCCAGTTTAAGCTACATAGCAAGATCCCATCTCAAAACAAAACAAGAACCAGACTAAAAACAAACACAAATATTTATTGTGATGGTGTGATGGTGACTTGACTGTCAACCTGACAGAGTCTAAACTCACTTAGCAGACAAAGCTCTAGGCAGGTCTGTGAGGGACTGAGCACTAGCACTCTCCAGCCCCTGCTTGGCTGACTGTGGATCCCGAACGACCACTTCCATCTGCTGTTGCCCCTTACCCCATGGCAGACTCGACCCTCAAACCAGGAGCCAACATTGTCCTCCTTCTTTAAGTTGCCTTTGCTTGCAAGTATTTTGTCATGAGGATGGGAAACATTATGCAGATGGTCATATGATAAAGTATGCACAAGGTTTAGCACAATGTCTGACACAAAAACTGTTGAATTAGGCAAGGTGGTGGAGACTCATGCCTTTAATCCCAGCACTGGGAGGCAGAGGCAGGTGGAACTCTGAGTTTGAGACCAACTTGGTCTACAGATGGAGTTACAGGATAGCCAAACCCTGTCTTGAAAAAAACAAAATGTGTTGAATTAAATAACAATTATATTATTAGGATTCTCAATGGTGCCCACATTTGTAAAAATACAGGTATCTTTGACTTTTGCTTATAGAGAAACCCTATATAGAGAGACCAGGTAGGGAGGTGCTCACCTTTAGTCCCAGCACTTAGGAGGCAAAGGCAGGCAGATCTCTGCACATTCAAGGCCAGCCTGGTCTATGTAGTGGATTCTAGAACACAGAGAAACCCTGAGTCAAAAAACAAAAACAAAAGAGAAGAAGGAAAAAGAGGAGGAAGAGGAGGAGGAGGAGGAGGAGGAGGAGGAGGAGCAGGAGGAGGAGGAGGAGGAGGAGAAAAAGAGAGAGAGAAACCCTTCTTGGCTTATCTGAATACTGGAGTTACAGCTGATATATCACATTATCACATCCTGGAGAGAAACAATGTGGCTAAGGGTGTGGACTGAGGTTCAAGACTGCCAGGATTTGACTCCCTTGAATCTACCATTGACTAAGCTGGGTGACTTGAGGTGAAATATTTAACCTGCCTGGGTCCTAGAGTTTCCATCCATAATACAGAGATAGTAATATCTACCTCATAAACTTTTTAGACTAGTAAATAGTGTATGTGATATCTACTATGTGTTCATTAAATTTTTAAAAAGACGACATCTTTGTGATAAGGTCTCAAGAAGCCCAGGCTAGCCTCAAATTCACTATGTAGCTGAGGATGACCTTGGACTTCTGGTTCTCATGCCTCTCTACCTTGTTGAGTATTATGGGTATCCACTACCACAACCAGGCAGTACTGAGAGCTGAATCCAGGCCCTCATATAACTTAGACAAACACTCTACCAACTATACTATATTCACTTCAGTTGATGTGTGTGTGTGTGTGTGTGTGTGTGTGTGTGTGTGTGTGTGTGTGTGACATAGTCCTTGGCTGTCCTGGAACTCACTATGTAAACCTAGCTGGCCTAAAACTCAAGAAATCTGCCTGTATCTGCCTTCTAAATGCTGAGATTAAAAGTGTGTGCCACCATGCCTGGCTTCTCTCTTGATTTCTGTTTTTGGGTTTAGGGTGGTTGTTTTTGGTTTGGTTTGGTTTGGTTTGGTTTTGTGACAATATATTATATAATCCCAGACTAGCCTCATACTCCATATGTAGCCAAGGATGGCCTTGAACTTGTATGTGTGTACACAAGTATGTGGGGAGGGGTGCACTTGCCTATGCATGCTCATGTGGAGGCCAGTAGCCAACAGCAGGTATCTTTCTCTATTGCTTTCCATCTTAGCTTTCTGAGAGACATCTCACACTAATCTTGGAGCAAGTCATTTCATCTAAATTGGCTGGCCAGTGAGCCCCAGAGATGCTTCTGTCTCTGCCTGCTCCCTGACATTGGGTTCCAGGTGTGTGCCACTGCCCCAGCCCATGGACTTGAACCACTGATCCTCATATGTGTCTCCCAATTTAAAACAATAAGAACAAACCCCAACATTAATAGACCATTCTTCCTGCAGAGAAGACAATGAGCATGCAACAGCCTGAGCTGCAGCCTGGACCTGTGCACACTTCTGTTCTCACTGTCGGCCTCTCCACCCCACACTGCTTTCCAGACTTTCTCAGATTTCTTTTAGCAACCATCTGCTATACTTTTCCATTCGAGGTTTCTTGATGAGTCACTTCCTGTAGCTTCACCCTGATATGTACCAAGCGTTGTGTGTTTATCTATTCAATAGGCAAGCTTTGTTTTTCTAGAGCATTTCTTGATGAAAATTTAAGCTCCAAAATATGCCTTAAAAGTCTCTTCATACAAAATAAAGAGAGAAGGTTCTAGAATTGAGCTGTGCTTCGGAAGGGTCTGTTAATGCTTGCTGGAAGAACCCCTCAAATGAGATAGGTCCGTCATAAGTCAGCCATTGTGAGCAATA